TTYYTTYYWAAAARRRRAAAAAACCATAGTTAAGGGCTTCTTTGGCTTAACAWYTGATTGCKAGACCGTAAGTTCCAGTAAATTTGCATATTGCATGTACACACTTTACTTGACCGTTTGCTTGTTTTGTTGCAGAGCTGTTACTGCAATGCATATTTTGAACTATTGTTTTTTAGCCTTTTTGCCTTTAGTCACTCCTCTWCGTACATCATTAAGTTTGTGGAAAGCAAAGGAGCTTATTTGCTTAAGTGATGTGATTTCCATGATCAATTCAGTGGACCATTGCTTTAAAAAAATCAAAAGGAAATAATGAAAAATAAATAGGGACCATGACTAGTATAACTAAAGTGACTTTTTTCGAATAAGCAAAAGTTTCAAAAATTCCCTAAAATATCACTTTGGTCATTTTTACAGCAAGCTCTTTACACTTACTTTGCAAAAGAGGAAGAGCACAGTCATCAAGTTCCATGACAACACCATTAAGAGCATTCATCATTGGTGGTATATCCAGMAGGTATAGGGCAATTGGCTGCATTGACAAAGGAAATTAATATAGATAACTATGTGACATAAATATACTTAAAATTAAACATAATGTCACAWAAATTTGCAAATTTTGAAGCTTCCCCATAACAGTCGAAGTAGCTGGCACTAATGGATAGTGTGTATTACTCTCCCTTGTGTTCTGATATGATTATATTATACTAAAATCTGACTGATGTAAACTTGCCTTGCTCTGTCCAAAGACATCTCCCTTGGCAACAGAATAAAGCAAGGAGTAAGCTATCTGCCCTGCAGCACCAGTGATGCAAACATGTAGAGGTTCAACCTGAAAAGACATAGAAGATCCAAAATATTTAGTTTGTGCACCATTGCTTAGAAAACAATGGTATATCCATCTATTTGATTTTTCATGAACCGACACTGGGTCCCGGGACCCATGTTTTCATCCGTCCATACCTCCTTCCTTCCAGGCATCCGTGTAACAGCACAGGAAACCCATACTCCGTGTGAAAAGGAAAAAAAGCACCAAAAATATTTGTTGAAAAATCGAAATTTTTACCTCAAACATTTATCTTCTAAATTGACAATATTAGAAAACTTGATCATAAGCAAAAAATCCACAGGAGAGCAAAATAAAAGCACATACCGTATTTACCCATGTATAAGCTGCACTTTTTATCCAAAAAAAATTGTTCCCAAATCAGGGGTGCGGCTTATCTACGAGGAGACTTGTGAAAATGCCCAATACTAGTAAAAACCAATTTCCATAAATTAGCATTCACGGTGCTAGACTGACTGCAGACAGGACATCAGTAATGTGATAAGTTTGTTTTACACGGCAGGAACAGAAATTTTAATCCAAACTTCTCAGTATTACTATAAAGTCTCTGAAAATCTAGCTCTGAGAAACACAAGTCAATAAATCAAACTGAAAAGTGCATGGTTATTGAGCCAATGAACAGAGAGCATTTTCAATCATTATGTCTTGGAGTTGTTTTGGTAACGAGTTGCTAATTTGCATTATTCATTTAAGCGACTTTGTCACACTTAAAATGAAGAATCCAGGGTAAATATTTTGAATACCCAAGAAATTAAACAAATACAATCAGTTTTAATATTTTTTTTGAAATACGAAACGGTTTCGGCATAGACCACTTTCACAATTGCCTACTATCGATTTTATATGATAATTGGCAATATTAAGGAAACATTCAGCACTGTCATAATGAAGAACTATCAGAAATAAGTAATGGTGCAAAATTTTAAAGATATAGATTAATTATACTAACGAAGTTATGGAGGAATGAAAATACAAGGATTTGTATGAAATTCTTTACTAAGGCCTTGGTGGCCTCGTTTTGGTGTTTTTGTGCATCTTCCAACCCTTATAACTTCCAGAGGATTTAATATTTTTCTTTGAAACTTCCAGAGCTTATCTTTAGCTTTGATATCTATCATCTGAGTGTTTTCTTTTGTCAACATTTTGAATTTAACAATAATATGCTAATTAGTGTCGGCCATTGTGAAAGTCGTGTATGAGCCTTAAGTTTAGAAGTTTGGCGGCACGTTGAGATTTATATCACTCAAGTTAATTACTAGTTTGCTTTTACCTTTTTTACAGACCAAAGCATACTATGTTTCATATTTTACAGAAACCTACAAGGGACTTGAAACGTTTAATGCCYGTACATTTCTTTAGTACCAAGCATCGGAATATTCAAAGCTCATTAAAAATTTGAAACGAATGTTATGACTATATTTGGAAAATTCGGCCATTGGATAAGAGATTTTTAAAAGGCCCATTCTGGTTGGCTAGTGTAAATTGAAGTGTTCAAAATAAGGAAATGAGATGCAAATTAGATTTGAATATTCCAACGTTACACGGTGTTACACGTTTCGATTCCCTTATAGGTTTCTGATATTCATCAATAAAAGTGACAAAAATCAATCACTCCAACACACCATAAGCTGCTCAACTATTGCTTGAAAGTGGAAAAGAACTTATTGCTGTATACTCTTAGTAAAGTGCAGATAACCTGTGACATTGCGTCACAATCCCGTGCCTCAAGGGGGTACAAGCTAGTCTGTGACAATGCAGTTTGTAACTAGAAGGTTTATCAGGAGAATGCACACGAAATAAAAACAGAATATGAGTAATTTTTTTTTTTGCTCCAGTATCCTAGTCATTCACCCGCTGTGATTAGCTAGCGTGCAGTCTGCAAGCAAATTTATGCAATACAATAGCAGACCACCTTCTGAGCAATACAACTGTTTACAAAAGGTCTTTAAGCCTATATACGTAGAAAAAATTAAGAAGGAGGAGAATGTGCACAGCCCCCTAATAACTCCCAGCTTCGGAGATTGTAAGCCCCCCCCCCAAAAAAAAAAAAAAAAAAAAAAAAAAAAAAAAAAAAAACAAAGCAAAAAAAAACTGCATTTTTGACACTCCTGACAAATTTCTGGATCTGTCCCAGTCATTCTAGAGGTAAAGGATGAGGTAAAGCCAAATTTCACTTTTAACTTTGAATCTCACTTTTGCCCTTAATAAGTTAAGTTATAATTTACTGTCCAAAAATAACCCCCGTGTATAGATCTATTAAATCACTATATAGTGTTCTGAACAGATTCTGGACAAACGTTTGGAATGTGAGTCGAATAATAATGGAAAACGTCAGTAAAATAACTCTTCTAATCTATAAGGCTTTGCGTTCAAATTCGTTTTAGCATAAACTCAAAACTGTACACTTCAGTACAGGAATTGAGGGAAATCATGTGTTCCAAATCGAACATTTTACCAAAAATATCTACAATTACAAGCTCATGCTTAGTTACATAAAACCCTTTGCAGATTTGATATACAATTTCTCACCATTTTGCAGTGGTTTGGAGAGGAAAATGCAGCTTCTCAAACACGATATCTCCTTGTCACACAAATAAGCTTGTAGACGTGCGAACGACCACGACTGCACAAAGCAGAAATATCACGTGGCATATTGCACAGGAAACCCATTTCTGTATATGCAATGTACGACATTTCGTACATATCCCATTGTTATATTTGGCCGAATCTATTATGGTTTCTAACATCATTTTCTTCGGAGTGTCAGACAGCAAAAGAATGGAAAAATATCAGAGTTTTGATCGGTCAAAATTCTAACCTCTGTCGTTTTTCCGAACAAAGGGATAGGAGCTTGGGATTGGATTTGTTTATGAGGAAGGCAAACATTTCATATGGAACTTATTGCCATACATCGGGTGACATTTGCTTGGATTATTATATAATATCACAGTTACGTTCAATGACTGATATAAATTTTTCAAATATTGAATTAACACAAAACTGCATAGTTTTGACTACATTTTCAACATATAATAAGAAAGCAATAATTTGAAAAATTCAAGTTTGATTTATGTTGCTTGTGCCTACAGAAGTAGTCTCCTTTGCATCCGTTCATCGTCGGGACAGGAATCCCGAAACGCAAACGGATGCGAAGCAACGCCAACTCTTCAAAGGMGAAAATACGTAATTTGATTTTTAAATTTTCTCACGAAAAATACACAGCAATGTCACACATACATTTTATTTCTTAAATCCGGTGCTAGGTTTTTTATTAACAAAATAAGTTATACGCGAGGCCCAGTTTTTTGGAGCGAACTGTGGTGAAAACATGGATCGCCATACTATTTTAATGCTCAACTTCAACTCTTCAAGGGCAAAAATACGTGATTGGATTTTCGAATTTTCTCATGAAAAATACCCAGAAAGGTCGCATATAGATTTTATTTCTTAAATCCGGTGCTAGGTTTTTACGATTGTTTTTAATGTCGCCGCATTTCTTCAAAAAGCCTTGAAATCTGGCCTTTTTTCGTCAAATTTGGCACTTCATACGGACTGTCAGGTCAAGCTTGAGTGATCACGGACTATTTGTCCCCCATAAGTTCCATATGCTGAAAAATATGTTTGATATTAGATGCAAACATTTCTGTGAGTTCTTCTTAACCGCCTACCCTCTCCCCTCGCCCTAGAGACACGCAGGCAATCCACGATCCTCAATAAATATGGCCACGTCGGCACGTCCACAAAACTTTACCGCTATCCGCAGTCCGTAGTCGAACCAATCAGTGATCGAGACGGGACTGATAGTCCATTCCRCCATTCCAATTATTATGCATACGATGAGTACAACATCGATATCGCGATATCGGATACACATTCACTGTGAACACTCAACAATGCACTTGGTAGTTATTCACGGTTATATTTTGAGTGGAACGGGCTCAAACATTTATACAACAAACGTAGCGAAAACATGGAAAAAGCAAGGGCACGCCGTGACAGTAGTTTGCCAAGATCCATTTGCTGACAAACTAGAATTTGTGGATGAGTTTTATACTGGCACTGATGCAATCCCATCTTTTCCGCCTAAAGAAGGGACTATAAGGGTAGTAGTTCCCGATATCCATGGGCTTCTTCTTGTCTACAGCTACGATAAGTACCCTGGCTATGAGGTGAAAACGATGAATCAGTGTACAATTGAAGAAATCGATGCGCACATCAAAGCAACCAGCGAAGGATTACGCAGGGTAGTCAACCAAGGAGTTGATATGATACTTACCAACCATATTATACTCTCGCCAGTTATCGCAAGTAGAGCAACAAAGGACACCAAGGTCCCTTATGTTTGCAAGCTGCATGGTAGTGCAATGATATTTTCCGTAAAGACGAGAACTAATGAACTAAAACCGTATGTTTTGGAAGGTTTACGCGACTGCAAAAGGGTCATTGCTGGTACCAACCACGTAGAGGAAATGGCTTTGGAAATACTGCAGGAGGAGAGAGAAGAAATGAAATTGAAAGAGAAAATGGTGATTATCCCACCGGGATTAGACCCCGACGTGTTTCAAAGCGGAGGGGAATTGCATGAGAAACAGGAGGCCTTCCTTGCGAGTGTTAAGGCATTTATAGATAGAAACCCAAATGGACGAAAAGACTCGGCCATTCTTCATTTACCTATTAACTCCCAAGATATGCATGCAAGTCTTGTGGAGGCTGCACACTCGTACGATCAACGAGCGATCGACGCAGATTTGATAGAGCGATGGGTYCCCTTTGAAGAAGGACAACCGATCATTTGTTACTTTGGCAACTTTTTGGATACAAAGGGGGTTGGAGAGCTGTTAACCGCTTTCCCATCCATTTTGGATCGGGTACCGGAAGCAAGGCTGTTGTTAATCGGCTTTGGACGATATCGTGAGCATTTAGAGGGAATGCTGCGCTCACTGAGAGAGGGAAATGTTGAAGCTTTCAAGGTATGACTAACTTTCGAATTAAAAGTGAACAATCRCTGCTTTATTTGATAACAGATTCTCTTGCACAAAGACCTTACAGTAAACTAAGAAAACACGAGAAAATGTCTTTCTTACAATAGCCTTGAAAATGTGAATTTTACCCGAGTTGAGATTAACCCTGAATTCCCATGAGATTTAAGGTTTTAGCCTTCTTGGAATACAGGGTTAGCCTCAACTCGGGTGGGAAAATGTAAAATTGTCGTTAGCGTTATTGYACTTACAACATTTTCTCCTGCTTTCTTTTGTRTTTGCATAGTTAGACCTCATATAACTATGGTATGCACTATGTACTATATTGGATATCAGAAATATCAATGCTCAAATTTCGAGTAATGATGTATATTTCTTAAATGAGGAATTTTCATTGTATAGAAAAGTGAAAGTGAATGAATTCACAAGCACCGGCACATCACGGATATCAAATGGTAATTTGAGATCAGGTGAYAAGCAATTTGCTAACACTGTCACCGGATCAGGCATAGGCTGGCCAACTATAATTTGTGGCTTATAACTTATAGTTCGAGGGTTTTGCTGTTTATGCGACCTTGAATTTTAAATATTGAGAGCATTTGATGCCATRCGGCATGCAATCTTTATCTTTTCAATGTAACTGTGGTCTGCTTCAACCATACCAATTTTAGCTTACCAGCACCTTTCTCCAGCACCTATTCTGCACTGAAAACCAAAATCACTGGTGATTTCGATTTTAGTGGCCGCCATGACAGTCTTAATGGAAAATGCCGCTGGTCATTCCGCCATACCTCATTCCTGGTTTTAGTAACGTCCCATAACATACTAATTCTAGCGGTTCTGCTGATTAGCATGCTATTTTCTCATTATCATATATAAAATGCAAAATTGTTCTAATAAAGACAAGTTTGGCAATCACCAGCCTATATTTTAAGTGTAAATTACGAGTTACTAAAAGCCTCTAGCGCAAATGGCTATTCACATCTTCCAGATGTCAATTTCAATTGTGTCACTCAATTTCATGTGCTTTAATTGCCCTTAATGATGTAGTTAGCTTACAGCCACGTATTGTTTTTTTTTCATCTTGCTATGGTTTTCCATATTGTACTAAAGACATTATTTAAACGCATTATAGGCCTATGCGAATGCTGGCAAATTTGTAGACCTCCCCGATGATCTCGACCGCTACTTTCGACAACTCCGTCCCGTAGAACAAAATCGCGTAACCATCACGGGTTACCAACAGCATGCGCAGCTTAAAGAAATCCTACCGTTAGCCAGCTTGTCCATTGTTGGTGCCAAGGCAACTGAGGCCTTTGGTATGGTTACAGTGGAAGCAATGTCTGCTGGTGTGCTTCCTCTTTGCCACAACCATTCCGGCCTAGCGGAAGTCCTCGATGTTGTACGCGAAGAAGATCCTGATATGGAGAAGCGAATGAGACTGGATGCTCGCCCTGGTGGGTCACGTGGTACAGCAGACGGAGCGTTTCTCATTCAACATCTTCCCGAAAAAGTCCATGCTGCATTGAAGTTTCTTTATCCGAAAGGTTTTCACGATTACGAAAAAAGAAGAGAGGTGTCAGCTCGGTTGAGAGAAGTAGCTATATCTCAATTTTCTTGGGGGGATTTGTGTAAGAAAATTTCTGATTTACGGGAATTGCCCGACATAGTTTGATTGGCAGTTTCTGTAACCAGAGAATTGCGGTTATCATAAGGCTGATAAAG